TCATCTCCGAAGACAGACTCATCTCTCCCTCCCCCCTGGAAATAAGTCCCACCACTGTTGTATCATCTTATTTGTGGAGAAACGTGTAAAATGGGACAAAGCTCCCTTAAGAACTTAGCAGCGGGAAATTTTGCACTCAGTTGTGGTCATAAGTCAAAGGCTACTTGTATGTCCCCTTTTTTTTCCCCTAAGTAACAACAGCTACTTTCATTGTGAATCTCTGGTTCTCCCTTCCAGACCTGAATGGTATGGAATGCTCTATTCTCAAGCCGACAGCAAGAAGAAGTCCAACTTAATGATGTCTCTCTTTGAGCCAGGACCAGAGCCACTTCCTTGGCTGGGCAAGATGGCCCAGCTTGGTCCCATCTCAGGTACTGGCCGTGCTGGTTTAAATGGTGCCGCTCGTTCCTTCCCTGCTTCTAACTTCCATTTTGATACAGATGCCTTGATGTGCCTTAGAAGTTGGCAGTTCTGCTCTTGGGTGTTTTATCCTCATGACTATTATGTGAGCAGTGAAATGCCTCTCGCAGGCTCTCCGATTTGTGTTGGTGTCACCATCCTTCTGAATCCGTTTCAGGATCCCCTTTTCAGGAATTGTTGCTGGGCTTCTTGAAGTTTTGGGAAGTGAAGGTTAGTAGCAAAAGCACCCAGACTTATATACCACTTTGCAGTGCTTTACAGCCCTCACTAAGCAGATTATAGAGTCGGTATATTGCCTGTAACAATCTGGGTCCTCCTTTTACCCACCTCAGGAGGAGGGAAGGCTGAGTTAACCTTCAGGTGGTCAGAATTGAACTGCCGGCAGTGGGCAAAGTTAGCCTGTAATGGCTGCATTCTAACCACTGAGCCACCATAGCAAGAGAAGAGGAAGGAAGAGAATAGGGCTGTTAAACTGGTAGCCCACGGGCCAGATGTGTCACATGGAGGCCATGCCCACCCCAGCTCCGTGAAGGGGAAAAATACATCACAATATATCCTGTGATGGCAACGTGATACAGCAAGTTTAACACCCGTAGTATAGAACAGCACAGCACTTTGTCTTATATACCACGTCACAGAGCCTTACAGCCCTCTCTAAGCAGTTTACAGAGTCAGCCTCTTGTCCCCAAAGTCCTCATTTTACGGACCTCAGAAGGATGGAAAGCTGAGCCAACCTTGAGCCGCTCAGAATTGAACTGCAGGCAGCCGGCAGTCAGCAGGTGCAGCCTGCAGTACTGCATTCGAACCACTGCGCCACCCTGGCTGAATGCTCAAAAGATTTCAGAATTCCTGAGATAAGTAACAGCAGAACCTCATCCTGGTCTTTAGTTTAACCCAGGGTCTCCATCAGTGGTAACTTGTAAGACTTGTGGACTTCAAACTCCCAGGATCCCCCAGCCTTCAAAACTCTGTAAAGCTGTAGTCAATCATAAGCATAATTGTGATGTCCATTTCACAGCTGCTTTGCTTAACGACTGAATCGCCGGTCCCACTTGTGGTCGCTCGATGAGGACTAGCCACACACTTTTTATTTTTCAGATGCGAAGGAGAACCCGTACGGGGAAGATGACAACAAGAGCCCCTTCCCTTTGCAGCCCAAGAACAAACGGAGCTACGCTCAGAACGTCACCGTGTGGATTAAACCGAACGGCCTGCAGGTAAGTCAGGCGGGATCCAACTCTGCTCCCCACGGGCAGAGAAAGCTCCTTTACTAAAAAGGTGAATCGGAACGGCGATCTTTCCCGGGAGAAGACCTCACCTGCCCTTGCCCTCTGTGCGTGAGAAGCATTTGCGCAATTCGAGGGGACGGTTGTGGCCCGTCGGCTGCCAGCCTCTCCAGCGGACGAATCAGAGGAGGAGGAGACTGCGTGGGAGTCAGGGCCAGTATCAGGACCACCTGGGAGCTCTGAGGGGGAGAGAGGGAATAGAGGAAAGGGGGGAGGAGAGGGAGAGGGAAAAGGAAGAAGGAGGAGAAAGAGGAGAGGGGAAGAGAAGGAGGAGGAGGAGAAAGAGAAGGAGGGAGAGAGAGGGAGAGGGATTGAGATGGAGCCTGGGATGTCTATCAGCCCTCAGATGGAGAGTCAACAGCCCCCAGGTCTGGAGGTGGCTGATGAGGAAGAGGAGGAACAGCTGGGTCCAGTGCCTGACACACAGAAGGCAGAGGAGAGGAGAGGAGAGGAGAGCAGTGGAAACCTATGGGCCGGTCCTTTGCTAGCAGCTCTTCCCCTATCTCTGGGGATAAAATGGAAGGGGTGGAGATGAATAGATGTGGCAGACAATTATACATCTCCCTGCTCCCAACGGAGCAAAGCAAGGAAGAATAAGGTCTTTCGCTTCGGTTGGTAGCTCCGCTTTGGCCACGATTTGTGTGTCTTCTTCCCTCTCCCACAGACTGACGTACAGAAGATACTCAGGAACGCAAGAAAACTCCCTGAGAAAACACTGACCTTCTACAAGGTGAGGATTGGGGACAGAGGCCAATCAATGTTCAGCTATTAGTCAGGCGTCTCACATTTTCCAGTGGATGGAAACTGGGAAACACAGGTTGCCATGCTGCGTGTGTGTACATGTGCGCGTGCACGAAGGGCGGCTCAGCCAATCTCATTGTACGCATGTTGTACTCTGACAATAAATGTAATAATAATTATTTGACACCCACCTCGTTTCAAAGCAACTCCAGGTGGCTTACAACATTGAAAACCCATCACATATAAACATACCCAATGAAACCACAATCCAAAGAGAATAAAATATGTCTTCTTCAGATTTCCCGCTTCCTTTTTCTCCCAGAGTCCAATCATTTATGGGAGGGTGTGAGGGGCTGCAGCCCAGAATCTTTCCTTCTGAGCCAGAGCGATGATGCTGGAGAGGCGATGGCTGATTTTCCTACAACTTTTTTTGTCTTTTCCAGGAACTCAACCGGCTGCGCAAGGCCGCCTTGGCCTTCGGGTTTTTGGACCTCCTGAAAGGAGTGGCGGCTATCCTGGAAAGAGAGTGCACCCTCCTGCCTGACACGGCGCACCCCGACGCGGCCTTCCAGCTCACCCACGCAGCCCAGCAGCTCAAAATGGCGAGCTCCGGGTCTTCCGAGTATGCTACTTACGACCACAACATCACACCGTTGCAAACGGACTTCTCTAGCAGTGGGACGGAGCGAATGTGAGCAGCTCCGAGGCAGAGAGACTCTCTGGAGGATTCACCTTCTCTAACAAGGGTGTCAGACTCAATTGCATTGAGGGCTGCATCAGGGCTGTGGTCGACCTTGGATGTGTGTGTGTGTGTGTGGCCAACTGGGAGGGCATCTTGACTTCACTCACTGGGCATGGCCAACTGGGTAGGATGACTACTGGGTTGGCTAACTAGGATGGCCAACGGAGAGGGCATGGCCAGTTTGACTCCACTCACTGGGCATGGCCAACTGGGTAGC